TATACGATGTAATATAATACAATATTTGTAGATTAATATAATCATATATTTAATGAATCTTAAGTTAACTAGGTGAACCAATAAGCATAGTTGATAATTAAGAAAAAAAAAAGGGATGAGTCGTGAGTTCCGAATTCGAGATTCTCGGACGTTAACCCAGCACTAAGCACGTACGCTACCAAGCCATTGTGCTGTAGATATAGGAAACTTTATATTTGTGTAGTTACCTACGTTCGAGGATTTGTTTAAAGTTTTATTTGCTCACTCTATTATTTACAAAACTTCATATGGATATTAAGGGAATTAACATCGGCAAAATTTACTACCTCATTACTACGGTTTATGTAATATGCAGTAAGAAAGGGTGGATTCAAGTCTCCCTATTTGAGTGTTCACCCGGTTTAAAATCGTGGATCTCGAGGAACACACGAATTCATTCGACCAATCAAAAACGTGGAACTAGTTCGAGAGTCTGGTTCAGGTGGCGCGTCGACGCGCCAAAACAGCTCTAGATAAAATCTTGGATCTCGAGGAACACACGAATTCATTCGACCAATCAAAAACGTGGAACTAGTTCGAGAGTCTGGTTCAGGTGGCGCGTCGACGCGCCAAAACAGCTCTAGATTATCACGCGTAGTATTACTATATATACACGACCAATCAAAAACGTGGAACTAGTTCGAGAGTCTGGTTCAGGTGGCGCGTCGACGCGCCAAAACAGCTCTAGATTATCACGCGTAGTATTACTATATATACACGACCAATCAAAAACGTGGAACTGCTTCGAGGGCCCTCCGCTAAGGTGGCGCGCCGAAACCAGAGAAAAATTGAGACCACCAAAAACAGGCTCATTGGCAATCTCCCTACTCATCTTTGGTTTCACCAACTCAGAAATTGATCCTTGAAAATCTTTCGAATTTTCCGGGCAATCAGCTGCGAGGGATATAACGTGAAAAACGGATTCTATGGTACATTTTATTTTGATTTATAGTGATTTATACTGTTCAACGTCAGGAAAAAAGGGTTTTTGTATACACTCTCCAATTTATCACTATAGAATTATTAAATAATAAAATTAATAAAAACAAAGCTTGCAACTCATTTTTACATAAATAAATATGCTATTTTTATAAAATTTCAAGAATTAATATATTTTTCATTGTATTATAAAATATTGAAATTTATATAGTTTCTATAAGTTATAATTTAAAAGCATCTTTATATAGTATAGTCATACAGAAATTGATACTGAGGAAATTCAATTTATTTACTATAAGAAATACTGTACAATTTCAGCATAATTCATTTGACTAAAGGAATATTTTATGTGCACAGGCATTTCTCCTTATATATTAGTGATTCATTTTTTTCATTAAATATTATACATTGTAACACATTTTGTGTAAAAGAAATCTAATAATAAGTAACATCAAGCCCGATATTACAATTACTCTTATGTTGGTAGTGTCTGGGGGAAAAAAGTATAGTGGATACAAAGCTGTTATACATATAAAGAAATTAAATGACATCTTTGATCTTTCAAATGTTTGCTACATCTGAATATATACGTTTTTTAGAACTTTTAATGGTTATATTTCTTTTATCAATATAATCTTAAATTAAATTCTCATACAAACATGTCCTATAAGCAAAATATATGAAGTTAAATAATTGTGATATTAAAGTATTTACCACAGAATAAATACATTCCCATCATGTAGGATCTAAGTAAGATTAACTAATTATGTACAACATTTGAGAAAAATACACGAACGTGATTGGTTAATTCTACTTAAATCCTGCACGATAGAAACATAGACAATGTAGATTACAAAATTTGCAATCACGTTTATATAAAGATTCGCACACAATGAAAGGAATGAAACATAAAGGGAAGAGCTGTTATGCGGTTAATACAGTGACTTTGTTAATTTTTTGCTTCCAGCAAGACAGTGATGATTAATCAAAACCATTCTATTCTCCATTCCTTATGTTTTATTCCTTTAATTACGTTCGGACCCTAACATTCACATATATAATGGAATTGAATTCCATGATAGATTCCACAGAAACGAAAATTGAAGACATGACATGTAACGATTCAATGAAGGGAAGAAGGCAGCAAGATATGGAAATGATATCTAAATATTTTGAAAGAAAAGTAAGTATAGCAAAAGAATTACAAAAATAGCAAAATACCTTCTATTTAAATTTACAGACCTGCAAGAAAGTGCAGCACATTGATTATATTGATAAGCATCCTCAGCTGAAGAAATTAGTAGCTAACTATGTTCAAGCTCTGACAGTTGGTAATCAATTGAAAAATTTCACTTTTAAAACAAAAACCACATTATTTTTAATTCTAGCAGCTTTAAAGAGCTTTTTTAAAGCTTTCTAATACTGGAAATTGAAAAAACATTGTTTTTCTAACATGATCTAATAACATTTTTTTACAGTGAAACCAGTGAACATACTATTTTTTACAATTCAATACTTCAAAGCATTTGCAAAAACATTAAAAAATTGCATTAGTACATCAAGAAAAAGAAATTGATATAACTTACTCCATTATGTCCGTTCTAATGATACATTTTTTTGGGGATTACATATTACACAGTTATCCTGAAAAAAAAACGGAAAGTTGTAAATTACATTAAAAATATATAATTTACTATTAGAACAAATTGTACCTACCACCACTTCCAAATTTGGTAAACAGTCTTCATGAAACGTATGTCTACAGTAAAATATAACTACACTTCTAGGTTCTGAAATATTATGATGTATTAGATAATTTGAAATGGAATTATAAAAAGCATAATTCTAATTTATCAAACCTTTTACGACAATGTTTCTATGGCAAGCACCGCACATTTGATAATCTGCAAATTATTTAAAATCGGACAATTAATAACAAAAGAAAATATGAAAATAAATGTTGCATACCATCCATGGAAATTCCTTTCTGATGAAAGCGTACGAGTCTCTCGTGCAAATTGAAATAATCACTGGAAAGAATTTTCTTGCAGCCTTCCTGAACGGAAACCTGAAGGTTATAATCACATATCATTTTTACCAGAGCATTCTTTAATCCAGGAATCTCTAAAGAAGGTTCTATTCTCTGAACCATAACTCTGGGATCTACATAGGTTCCTATTCTCTGGAGTAAAAATGTAATCGCCTCTGAAAGTAAAACTATTTACAAAAGGATTCCACACAACAATTTTGTCTACATTACTTACCAGGTTTATCAAGAGAGTAGTTAACAAGATCGTTCCACAATTCTTCATCATCATGTTCTTGGCAAAATGCAATAGCGCTTTCCATGTCGTTTAATTCTCTGGTCATAAGTCCTAAAGCTTCGGTAGTATTGCCGATTCTACCCAAAAGATAAACCATTTCTGGGTAAAATTTTCTTTGAGTACATATATCTAGTGCTTCTTCTATCGGATAATTATCAGAGCGTCGTAAAAGAGGTAGTAATTTATCCCTCGAATAATCGGCGTAAAGACGCACCAAAAGCCCATGGTATTTTCCCTTTGAATCCTTAGTATCTTTCCGATGCAGTGCGTCTAAATACTAAATTAATAGAATCAAAGCCCGTCGATTAATAATTGAACAATACTACATTACATTTATTTACTTACCATATACAAATAACGATGATTATTTCGTAACTTTTGAACCACAATATTTGATGGGACACGATCTTTTTCTAGGAAAAATTGTATTGCTCTCTCAGCATCTAAATCCATTAATCCTTCAATCATATCGTATATTGAATTATACAGTTGGTGTTTCTGGATCAAGTGAAATACATCCTTGTGCCGTAGTTTCAAATACATTGCTAGTGCTTTATCATACTTTCCATCATGACTATATAGAATAGCAAGTGCTTCAAGAAGAATGTTATGTCTTTGTTTATGCACGGGAAGATGCTCTAAGACTCCATTAACTACTGCCGCCACCGTGTACAAGTTTGGTGGCCATTCTTTAATTAATTGTAGAAAACCATCAAGATCCATTTTCAAGTACTCATATAGAACCATTTCATAAATTAATGGATCCAACGTAACATCTCCTCGAGGCAAATATGAAGAGATTGATCTAAGTTGATGAACTCTTGCAAATTTGTATACCTAAGAGCAATGAAATTTCATAATTAATTATTGAGTGATGTAGCATTTATAGTACCTCTTCTTCCCAGAGTTTCTTGTCTCGCCCAAGAATTTTCAGACACAACTTTCCAGCTTCATCATATTTCTCATGACTCAGAAGATAATCCAAATAAACTCTGCCAACATAGATTAGAGAATGCTTTTTGCAATCTTTGCCAGCATTACTTGTAATGGCTTCTAAAGCTTGTTCAAACTTCCCATGAGATAGTAACCATTCGATTCTATCGTCAGCATCATATAAGCTTGCAATTACAATATCTTTGGGACTAACTATAAAAAATCTGAAGAAAAATATATGTTTATATATATATTTACTGTGTGTATGAATATATAATTAAATTTGTACATACATATTTTCCTACATACCTATTTTCATCTGTAAGACAGTCCAAATGATAATCATTACAGCTATATTCTTTATATCCCCGCAGTGTCAGAGAATTAGCACATATTGCAGAAAAATCCTGATATTTTGGTTCTACAACATGCAGAGTTGGTCTTTGACTTTTTCCATCTTCATCAGATTCTTTTAAACAGCCCAGAAGTATCAATTGACTTTCCAGAGGAGCAATTCCAGATATATAGAAGTCTACCCTAAAGGTAGATATTGGATCTACTACAAACTCTGGAAGGTCTCTACTTGCCATTTCTTGTAATGATCTCTTTCGAATTTGACAAATACGAACAGTGTCAACCCAACCAATGAGCAGAATTGTATCATCTGACCATCTTAAATTACATCTGTAATGCTCTGGTAATGCTCTGCAATATTTCATATAATTAAAAATAATTATTTCTTAACTAATTATGATTTTATTACTTACTCTGTTGTTCTATTCCACTTGATAAGACATAAGGAACATCGAGCATGTAAATCATATATTCTAACCCCTGTATCAGAGGCCCATGCTACAAATTGTCCTGCCCATGCCACTGAACGTACACCACCTTCAGCTTCGCAAAGAATAGTGGGTTTTATTCTTGATAGAAATGTTTTTTCATATAGAACAAGTTTATCGTCTCCTGTGATAAATTTTCTTCCACTACCACTTTTGTAATAATTTGGATCTATTGCAATACTTTTCACTAAACGACCCATACTCATATTGTGATTATTTTCTGTACTATAAAGTCCATAGATAAAAACTTTTCCATCGTCACTGCATGATGCTATAAAGTCTCCATTTAAATCAATAGAAATTTGATTAACTGCAACTGTATGTGCTTGAAGAGTTTTTGATCTTATATTATTTCCTTGATGATCCAATAGATGAATCATTCCCCAATGTGATCCTAGGCATAAAAACTGAAAACAAATACTTTTGTTTAACAAATTTAATGCATTATTAGGAAAAGAATTGATGTATTTTTATACTTTAGGGTGTACAGCAATGCAGCTAGCTGCATCATTTTGCAGAATATTCTCCAAATCATTTCGTACTCTGACATACTTAAGTCTTGGCTCAACCTCATCTACTTCTGAATCTGAGTACTCTTCATTATTCTGCTCAATCTAAAATATAATTCTGTTTAATTGGATGTATTCTGATAAGAATAAATTTACATTCACTTCTGGTCTTACATTATTCATGTTGGTTTTGACGAACTTTATATGTTCTGTTCAAAAAAAATAATTAGCCTTCATAAAAAATAAAATGTAGTCTTAAACTATTCCTTTCATTACTTTTGATAGCTTTAAGGCGAATTCAACACTGCTCAGGATAGGTTCCGAAGTTCACTGCCAGTACTACAGAGATGAGTGGGAGATGCACAACGCTCCGGTTTTAGGCGATACCAAAAGCATGGCGCTAAATCGTAGCGGCGAGTCCGGGAGTAGGATTTAGTAATCATCGCCTCTGTCGATGTTACAGATTTCGCGTAGCCGCGCGGGTCATGATCATCGTTCCAGCCGATATTGCAGTCAGCGAAAATGAATGGATTGCTCGGTGGTGGGGAAAAAGTTGCCGCCCCTCACAAACCGTTCTTGATAAACAGGCGGAACAGCAAGGTCTTCCGTCCAACCGAACCCTAAACATTTGTATGGATGTAATGCGCAAACAAATGTGTATATACAAATAAATTTCAAAGTTATAAAAAATGCATAGAAATATTGGTTTTCACTCTTTACCTCTTATAATGCCGAAAACGAACATTAAAAAATGAATGGCGAAATTCGTTGGTAAATGAAACGACCGAGAACAGTTCAAAGACAAATTTTGAAATATCATAGATAAATATCTATAATAAATTTAATTTAGTATTAAACGAGCATCGTGGCTGAGTCAATAACCTGTCAAGATATAACGCTGCTGGTTACGGGTTTGATCCCCCATGAAGAACTTTTTTTCCATCTTCTTTTTTTTTTTATTTTACTACAAAAATTGTTTAAGGTTCCTCTCTTTTAACCTTTCTAGGTTGCCCAAACTTTATTTTAAGTTTATATATTTTTTTTTAAATTTTATCTATGACAGAATCGACTAATATTTTAAACGCCCGCTCGTGCCGCGCGACCGGCGACTTGAGCGACTGCGGATCCTCTCTCGCTGAGGGGTCTGCTATTGCTGTTACTGCTGCCGCTGGTTCTTATAATCTTATAAATACTTTTTTATTTGCAATCTTCAGTTGCAGCGCCCAGTGTAAACTCAATAAGATTTACTATGAGAAAATAATTAGCACACTTCATTACCTGGAATCAATAATCTTGAGAAGCAAATATGAAAATGAGCATTATCTCTGTCCGTAATTGTTCGTCCACGTGGAGTAAATATTCATAGGAGTAAATACCACATTTTTCCCCCAACATTTTCTAGGATTATCTGGAATACCCCGACGTTACTCAGACTATCCTGATGCCTTTCTATCTTGAATATCATTTCATCTATTGGTTCAATAATCTTCTTAATAAGAATTATAATATTTATTTTTATTTTGTGAGAATCGTTAATCTCTAATCGGCAAATTATTTTTAATGTAAAGTAAGCGAAACGACAATAGTAAGCAGTTGAATAAACGATCAAATTCTAGAAATACAACTTCCGAAACAAGTAAACATATACGTGTTTTTGGCATCTGGCTAGTGCACCCGGTTACGAATCGGGAGGTCCATGGTTCGAGACCCCTCTATGGAGAGCACTTTCTTTTTACACAAAAAATGTGCTTTTGCAAATGGGATTAACAGATTAAAGAGTATATCCAATTAATTTATTTATCTTATTTCAATAAAGGCATAAACAACGACAACCTGCGGGCTTCCACATCACCCAAGAGGTGCCGTAGTCGATGCGTTCCCATTATTTAACGTAGCGGGTCCCCACTAGGCCTATACTACGATCAGCGATATCAACATTACGCAAACGATCTATTTAAGTAATTAAAGTATAAACGAATGGCAATAGGATATCAAAAGGTTTCGATTAGAAAATCTTAATAATATGAGTTCTGCACTCAAATATAAAGTTTCTTCATTGAAGATGATTACGACAATTATTTTACATTATATTTCAGACACACATGACGCGTGTAAATATCTAAAAGTAAAAGAAATTGAGAAAAGGACAATTATTGGGAAGAATAGTTTATCGGTCTATTGAGATCACGTACTGGCGACTTCAACACAACAGGCTAGGAATCTGACGGATCGAATCTGAGCGGGCGTCTGCAACAATGTTTCTAACTATCGCGCGACTAGCAATTCACATTGGGGCCTGCAGCGTCAGGTTGTTCACAGTCGTACAGGCAGCAGCATCATGGTAAGTAGTTCTTCAATAGTTATAAGGAAACAAGACGCAACACGTCTCATGTTTATTTTATAACTATGAAGGATATTGCGAGAGAGAATATTGTGAGTTAATAGAAAATGATTTTCGATCCCGATGACAACCTTTTTTTAAAAATATTTTATATAAGCTTAAAATAAAGTTTGGGCAACCGTGAAAATTTGAAAGAGAGGTACCTTGAAAAATAGTATAGACCGTTCGTAGTATAAGCCTACTGGGGACCCGCTACGTTAAATAATGGGAACGCATCGACGGCGGCACCTCTTAGGTGATGTAGAAGCCCGGAGTTTGTCGTTGTTTATGCCTTTATTGTAATAAGATAAATAAATTAATTGGATACACTCTTTAATCTGTTAATCTCATTTGCAAAAGCACATTTTTTTTTGTAAAAAGAAAGTGCTCTCCATAGAGGGGTCTCGGACCATAGACCTCCCGATTCGTAACCGGGTGCACTAGCCAGACGCCAAAAACACGTGTTTGTTTTACTTTTTTTGGAAGTTGTACTTACAGAATTTCATTGTTTATTCAACTGCTTACTATTGTCGTTTCGCTTACTTTACATTAAAAATAATTTGCCGATTAGAGATTAACGATTCTCACAAAATAAAAATAAATATTATAATTCTTATTAAGAAGATTATTGAACCAATAGATGAAATGATATTCAAGATAGAAAGGCATCAGGATAGTCTGAGTAACGTCGGGGTATTCCAGATAATCCTAGAAAATGTTGGGGGAAAAATGTGGTATTTACTCCTATGAATATTTACTCCACGTGGACGAACAATTACGGACAGAGATAATGCTCATTTTCATATTTGCTTCTCAAGATTATTGATTCCAGGTAATGAAGTGAGCTTATTATTTTTTCATAGTAAATCTTATTGAGTTTACACTGGGCGCTGCAACTGAAGATTGCAAATAAAAAAGTATTTATAAGATTATAAGAACCAGCGGCAGCAGTAACAGCATTAGTAGACCCCTCAGCGAGAGAGGATTCGCAATCGCTCAAGTCGCCGGTCGCGCTGCACGAGCGGGCGTTCAAAATATTAGTCGATTCTGTCATAGATAAAATTTTTAAAAAAATATACAAACTTAAAATAAAGTTTGGGCAACCTAGAAAGGTTAAAAGAGAGGACCCTTGAACAATTTTTGTAGTAAAATGAAAAAAAAAAGAACATGAAAAAAGAGTTCTTCATGGGGGATCGAACCCGTAACCAGCAGCGGTATATCTTGACAGGTTATTGACTCAGCCACGATGCTCGTTTAATTCTAAATTAAATTTTCTACATATATTTATCTATGATACTTCAAAATTTCTCTTTGAACTGTTTTCGGTCGTTTCATTTACCAACGAATTTCGCTATTCATTTTTTAATGTTCATTTTCGGCATTAGAAGAGGTAAAGAGTGAAAACCAATATTTCTATGCATTTTTTATAACTTTGAAATTTATTTGTATATACACATTTGTTTGCGCATTACGTCCATACAAATGTTTAGGGTTTGGTTCGACGGAAGACCTTGCTGTTCCGCCTGTTTATCAAGAACGGTTTGTGAGGGGCGGCAACTTTTTCCCCACCACCGAGCAATCCATTCATTTTCGCTGACTGCAATATCGGCTGAAACGATGATCATGACCCGCGCGGCTACGCGAAATCTGTAACATCGACAGAGGCGATGATCACGGTGATCACGATCACCAAAAAATCCTACTCCCGGACTCGCCGCTACGATTTAGCGCCATGCTTTTGGTATCGCCTAAAACCGGAGCGTTGTGCATCTCCCCACTCATCTCTGAGTACTACGTCTATCCTTCTCTCCTTGTTTACTTGCAGCGTAGGTCCCGTGTTCTTCTTCTTCTTCTTCTTGTTTCTTTTGGCTTTATGCCCTCATAGAGGGCCAAGTGCCAGGTGCACAAAATTGTTTTGTATGAAATTGAAGATTACCGAGCTGGACCAATAACTTGGTTAAGCCTTTGACGGCGATTGGCGGATCATCCTTAAGCTTAGTTTTTTCTCTCTTTTTTTTTTAACTCATTTTTCCTCGTCAGTAGAGTTCCTGTGTTGAAGAAACATCTAGTTTTTTGCTGTCCGTATGACGAACATGAGACCAGATGTGAGCGCCATCTAGGATAAGAAATATAGTTTTAAGAACACATTATTGTGAGGAAACAAAGTTTCAAATGCAACGGTTTTAGGTGAATTTTATTTCTTTATTCGTTGGAAAGTGTGCCTTCTTCAGGAACTTCTAGAAATCTCCCAGCATTCTGTTTAGAACCAAGCTGGAGTTCAACAGCGAACCTAGTGGGCATATCCAGTAGCTTATTTTTCCCTATGCGGTACCCACCTGTTGGCTAGCCAAATTTTATTTTTTAAACTTTTTTTTTATTCCATTCGTTTGATAGTCGTTTGATAGTGTTTGATAGTCTTGTAAAAACGTTTGATAGTCAATAGTTTTTTTGGAAAATCAAAATAAAAATCTTGTGTGGAGTTGGCCGGCACTTTTTTGTTTCTAGCCGGATTTTGTTTTTCCGGAGTTCAATCGATGCAAAATCGTTTGATAGTCCATCGTTTGCAAGAAAAATGAGAAAAACCATATGCGTATCAAGGATCCTAATTGATGCGATACAATCGATTCCTCGATCGGTGTATTCATTGACTTAGACAATATAACAAACTTTTTCTACTTCCAATCATTTGATAGTCGTTCGATAGTGTAAAAACGTAAAAATGTTTGACAGTCAATAGTTTCTTTCAGATATCAGTGTCGCGATCAAATGCATCCAATGAACAAAGAAACAACGATGCGCTCTCCGCTCTCGGCTCATTTTCGAACATACCTATAGTTCTCCGGCGCACATGAAAAAGCTTCTACGAATGGACTTATAGCCTTTCCAGGGCTCAATCGATGCGAAATCGTTTGATAGTTACGAATTGACTAATAAAAACGAATTCGCATACGGTTTTTCTTATTT